TCTACTGTGTTCTTCAGTTCAGAAATGGTGTTCTTCATATTCTCTTGTGTCTTCTTGATAGTTTCTATGTCCTTTTCCAGGTTGCTATAGTTTCTTGTAAGATCCTGCTAGGTTCTCTGCAATTTCTCATAGTTATCTTTGAGCTGGCTGAGCTCACTGAGCTTCCTTAGAGCCATTGTTTTGAGTTCAATATATGATCGTTCCCTTGCCTCTTTTTCATTTAGTTCTCTCTGTGGAGGTTCCCTTTTTCCACTCATTCGGGGGCATTTCTTTTTCTTCCCATTTTTGTGAGAGTCTATTAAGTGATTGATTGATTGATTGGTTTTTGCTTCTGCTTCAATTGATCTGTCTAGATTTCCTGACTTTGTGGATTAAACTTCTATGGTAGTAGACAGGTTTATTTATTTATTTATTCATTCATTCCTTTTTTCTTTACTTTTCTTCCTGGGCCCGCGTCTGATGATGTCAGTTGTTGACCCTATATGACTCTGAGTCGTTCGTTTGAACTTTCCAGGAGTCTATTGTCTGTTCCTGACTCCTGCTTTGGGCAGCTCTGTGACCCCTTCGGCCAGGGACCACAGAGCGTGGATTGCTCTGCACTTTCACCCCGCCTCCTTGAGCGCACTCCCTGGCCTGGCAGGATTCCCCTCCCGCGTGGGCAAGCACACAGTTACTCTAGCCCAGGGGCGCTTATTCGCCCGACCTCGCACACTCCTCTGGTGCCCGAATGGCGGCGCTCCCGCACTGGTCAGTTTAGGGTCTTCTATTGTATGCTTTTTCCTCTTTTGGCTCTTTGGGGGCGTGGCCTGCCCGCACGAAATGGAGACTATGGAAATGGAAGTCAGCTCCGCGACTGTCCAGTTATTCCTGTCTCCAGTCTCTCCTGTAGGGTCTCTGGGCAGCTCTGTGACCCCTTCCACGGGGATCCACTATTTCTACAGACAGCTCTGCCCTCGGAGGCCCGCAGGGGCACCTGTTTACGCTTGCCCTTGCTGATCTGTGGTCTCCCTCGCAGGCCCCGTGTGCGCCATCCTGCGGGAGCCCTTGCCAGCCCGCGCGGTCGTGGGTCCACACACGTGCTCACCAACTCTCACCGGCCACTTGGCACGTGCCCGCCTGCACTGTGTCGTTTTGGGCTATCGTGTGCTTTTCAGCTTTTGGCTCTTTGGGGGCGTGGCCTGCCCATGCACAATGGAGACTACGGGAAGGAGAAGGAGTTGGGATTCCCCTGTTCCTCCTCCCATTCTTTCCACAACGCCTCCGTTTCCAGTCTCTCCTCAGGGGTCTCTGGGCAGTTCTTGACTCCTCAGCCAAGGATCCACTATATCTGCGCCCGCGTTGTATTCTCAGGCCATGTGGCTCCCGCGCGCCTGCTTCTGCCTCTTCGGGGGCGCGCTCTGCCTGTGCAAAATGGAGACTAGGGAAAGGAGAAGGAGTCGGGACTCCCCGGTTCCTCCTCCCATTCTTTCCCCAACGCCTCCGTCTCTGGTCTCTCCTCAAGGCTCTCTATGCAGCTGTGTGACCCCTTTGGCCAGGGATCCTCTATTTCTTCCAGCTTCTCTGTACTTGGCAGCTCGCATGCGCACAAGCTGTGTGCGGGGCACACAAAAGGCAGGTTTATTTATTCACTTAAGCCTGAGTGAGATGGTAGCTCCAGAGTGGGAGGTGAGTTATCACCGGGGCTCCACCGGCCACTGTCTCAGTTCTCTTCACAAAGTTTTCCTCACCAATCTTTTCCCAGGTACCAGCCCACTCTGCTGCTGCCTCTACCCAGAGATCAAGGAGGGCGGCTGCCACTGCAAATTTTTGCATTGGCCCTTTATGTATCTCTTTGAGTCCCCAGCCGCCTGTCTCTGGCAGAGAGCGCCCCTCAGCTTTTCGGGGTCGCGTTTTGTCTGTGTGTTTTCCTGATTTTAGCTGCTGTATTCTAGGGGTCCCTGTTTATGGTTCAGACCCTGTTCTTCTCAGGGGAATCCAACTGGCCGTTGCAATGTCCCTCTGGTGCTGGTGCCCGTGGGCGCCCAGCCCACCCTCTCGAGCCTCCACCGCACTTCTTACCCATTGGGATGTGCGATAGTTGAATCCACCATCTGTCCGCAGCTCCAAGCCTCCTCTGCCTCTATCGTTCCATTGTTTTCCAGGTGATTTCTCCACTAGTTAGTCACAATTCCAGTTTGGTCTTGGAAGGAGGTTAGCGTGACTCCCATTCACTCCTTTGCCATCTTGGAATTTTCTGCATTTTTAAATTTTGAAGTAACTCCATGCTGCTTTTCACAGTGGCTGCGCCAATCTATATTCCCACCAACAGTGCACGAGGGGTTCCGTTTCACCACATCCTTGCCAGCACTTGTTTGTTGGTTTATTGATCATAGCCATTTTCACTGTAGTACATTTTGATAGTACAAGGTGCTATCTCATTGTGGTTTTAATTTGCATTATTCTGATGATTAGTGACATTGAACATCCTGTCATTTGTCTATTGACCTCTGTATGTGTCCTCTTTGGAGAAGTGTCTATTCAGATACTTCGCCTATTTTTTCATTGGAATGTTTGTTTTCCTGATGTTGAGTTTTGTAAGTTCTTTTTAAATTTTGGATATTAACCCCTCACCAGACATATCAGTGAATGTGTTATATTCAGTAGTTTGTCTTTATTTTGTTGGTTTCCTTTGCTCTGCAAAACCTTTTTAATTTGATATAGTCCCATTTATTTATTTTTTCTTTTGTTTCCCTTGACCAAGGCCATAGTATCAGAGAAAAAAATTGGCTATGAGAAATGTCTGCGATTTTACTGCCTATGTTTTCCTCTAGGGTTTTTATGGTTTTGAGTTTAACATTTAAGTCTTTAATTCATTTTGGGTCTATTCTTATGTATAGTGTAAGAAGGTGGTCAAGTTTTCTTAGTTTGGTTTTTTTCCCCATAATCCATCCCATTTTCCCCACTCCGTTTTTTGAGTAGATTATTTTTACCTCATTGAATATTTTGCCTACTTTGTCTAATATTAATTGAGTATAAAGGCACAAGTTTATTTCTGGGCTCTCTATTATGCTCCATTTATCTATGCCAATATCATGCTGTTTTGATTACTTTGGCCTTGTAGAACAGTTTGATATCAGATATGATAATTCCTCCAACTTTGTTCTTCCTTTTCTGGATTGCTGTGGCTATTTTGGCTCTTTTGTGTTTCCATATAAAATTCTAAAATATTTGTTTCAGTTCTGTGAAATATGCCCTTGGTAGCTTAATAAAAATTGCATTGAATATGTAAATTGCTTTGGGTAAATTTACAATTCTTCCTATCCATGAACACAACATATATATTTCCAATTATTTGTATACTTCTTTAATTTCTTCCTTCATTGCCTTATAATTTTTTGAGTACAGGTCTTTTACATCATTGGTTAAATTATTTCTAAGTACTTTTATTGAGGCAATTGTAAATGGAATTGTTTCCTAATTTTCCCTTTCTAATAGCTCATTATTGGTGTGTAAAAATGAAACTTAGTTCTGGATATTTATTTTGCATTCTGCTACAGAGAACCCTAAAGATTCAACAAAAAACACGACTAGAACTGACAGAAGTGTATTCTTGGCCAATGTGATAGACCTATGGAAAATTTGGAATGGACTAACCAATTAGATTAGTAGCCATTAGTTATAGATAGTTAATTTAGAACCGTGCAGAAATAGTAAATGCAAAAATCATAAATGTACCTTTAAACTTACTTTATTATTTCAAATAGTTTTGGAGAATTTTTTTTTTGCCTTTGTCCATTAAAATTACCTTTCAGATACTCAAGCTACTTGTAAAACTACTTAACAACTGCTTGAGGTTGATGGCATTTATTTTCTTTTGTAAACCCAGCTACTGTGTTAGTACTTGTGTGGCAGAATTAACATTCCAAAGTGCTGTCAGTCTTATTTTTAATATATTGAGTGTCACATTTATAACAGAACAAGGATACAGTGTTGGAACAACCTGTTGAAATGTCACTTTGATATGTGTCCTACTTGAAAAAACACTTTGACTTTATCTACAAATCTACTACAAAATGATTTTTAATAAAATATTTTCATGTACAAACTCTTGAAATTACGGCTTTAAAGGGAAGATTATATGAAAAATTTATTTGTAAATAATAAAAGCAATTATTGGAAATATAAAGATGGTTAAAAATAATTTATTCAATCTATACTTATAAGAGTACCTATTATGAATGAAGCACTTACTAGGTGTTTTGTCAGAAACTTTAAAATCATGACATGTAAAAACATAAATTTATAAATTAAAATTATCAGTAAAAAGTATTATTTTTAGCGAAAGAGATTCATAGGCTCATGGATCTTCCCCAAGAGAGATTGACAGCATGGATAGCTAGCCTTGGCTCAGGTGAGGCAGTGATAATTTAATTTTATTGCGAGCCTGAAACGTTTTGACCTGACCTGGGTTTTATACTAAGCAATAATAAGAGAGTCATTTTTGTGAAGGTGCCAGATTCTAAGAACATGAAATTTTAATCTGTTTTTTTTTGGTTTTACAGTATATTTTTTAATTGTATTTATTTTAATCAAATTTATTGGGGTGATATTGCTTAATAAAATTACATAGGTTTCAAGAGTACAATTCCATGATACATCATCTATATATTTCATTACTTGTCCACTACCCAAAGTCTCTTCGAAGTGTTTTATGTCTCATAAGTCCCCAAGGGTCAACCTTTCTATCTAATATAGAAGTGGTGTAGACTAAAAAGGTAATTAGAGTGGGAAGCTACAAAGAAGAAAACATTAAAATATAATTAGAAAATGTCTGGATGTGTCAGAGTCAGGTGTTTTTAATAGAGAAACATTGATATTCCACATGTATATGTAGTTCTGTTCTTGTGTTTTGAGAAAACTTATTGAAATACTGAAAAGATTGGGGATGTCTCTCATTTTGTCTGGCCTTTTATCAGCTACATGTCCCATTCTCTATTGTGTTCTTTGCTTTCTTGGCACAGTTCAGTGGACCAGGGGAAGAGAAATTGAAACATGCTGCTGCTACCTTTTGCAGTAATCAACCTTTTGCCCTGGAAATGATCAAATCTCGTCAGAAAAAGGATTCTAGATTCCATACTTTTGTTCAAGTGAGTGTGTCCTGTAGGAAAAATAAATGATGGAATTTTTTAAACCAATTATAGAATAAACTGGGGGAATTCTGACTAAGACTAAGTCTTTTACAAGGATTATATCTATGGTAATGTTTCTTAAATCTGTAAATGCTCTCTGAAATTACTGGAATGGTAAAAAATAAAGAGTCTATATCAGGATTAAAATACTTGACATAGAAGTTCACAATACTAGGGGGATATTGTCCAGAAGAGGCCATGTACACTATTAAAATAGTATCATCAAAGCATAAGAATGGGTTTATATCCAGCCCAGAGAGGAATATAATAGCAATCATACTTATTGAGGTATATATTGGTATACCGTAAGGGTCAGTAAGCTACAACCTGTGGGTCATATCCAGCCCCTTGCCTGTTTTTGGAAAGCAATATAGTAGTGTTTTATTGCTGTATAATAAATTACCACAAGCATAGCAACTTAAAACAATGCAAATTTATTATGTCAATGTTTTTGTGGTTGAGGAGTACAGGTATAGTTTAGCTAAGTTCTTTCATGCTTTCACCAGGCTGAAATCAAGCTGTCAGCTGGAGCTGTAGTTCTCATCTGCGACTTGGGGTCCTCTTCTAAGCCCACTTGCTAGCAGAATTCATTTCTTTATAAACGTATAACAGATCCTTGCCCTCTTAGTAGTTGGCTACAAACTGCTCTTGGTTCCTAGAGAATGCCCATATTTGTTTGCCATATGACCCCTATAGGCAGTTTACAAGATGGATGTTTGCTTTCTTTCAGGCCAGTAGGAAAGCATCTCTCTCTGACAGAGCTTTCCTTCAAAGACTCCTCTAATTAAGTCAGGCTCACCTAGGACAATCTTCAAGAGCAAGCTGGTAGTAACCTAATCAAAGAAGCAATATGTCATATTCCAGGTCTGTCCGCACACAAGAGGAAGGAATTACATAGAGTGTATATACCAGAGAGGGAATTTTGGGAGCTATTTTAGGACCTTTTAATACACATAGCCACGTTCATTGATTTACATATTATCTGAGGTGCTTTTGTTCTAAAACAGCAGAGTTGAAAGTTGGGATAGAGCCTATACAGATGCAAAGCCTAAAGTATTTACTATCTGACACTTTACTGAGAAGTTTGCAGATCCCTGCTATAGATGAGCTAGCTGCTATATCCAGATTGGTAGCCCAATATGCTTACTTGGAATGGCAGCCAGCAAATTAGCTGACTTGTTTTTGGTAGGAATGCTAATTATAGGAAACTGTAACTAGATATATTGACTGCGCTAAGATAAACTGTTTTATCCCAAGAAAGTGATTCTGAAAGTTGGTTATGAATGTTCTCAGTCCTTGCTTAAACAGGTAACAAAGAAGCTATTGGTTTAGGAATAAAAAGAGAAAGCAGAAGTATATTGTAGCAATGGTATGTTTTGGCATATATTAAGTTTTGATTTAATTACCAGAATTGTAGTGCTGTAGACACTTATATGATGAATATATGGTACAAGTTAAAATTCACTCATTTCACTTTAATTTTAGGATGCAGAGAGTAATCCACTATGTCGTCGTCTGCAGCTGAAGGATATCATTCCTACCCAAATGCAGAGGCTTACTAAGTACCCTCTTCTATTGGATAATATTGCCAAATACACAGGTACAGCATTTTTTACTGAAATTCAAAAGCTTAGGAACAAAAAGAAAGGAAGAAACATAAAATTCTCTCACAGCATTCTGGTACCTAGAAGTCTCCAAATAGTGAAGCAAAATTTTCTAATAAGATTCAGTCCAGACGTCGGGACATTTGATCTAACGGACTCCATTATTAAGTCTAGCACAGGGTTTGGCAATCTGGATCATGGGCCAAATCTAGCTCCTCACTTGTTTTTGTAAAGTTTATTAGAATATACTCATGCTTATTTGTTGACACATTGTCTCTGGCTGCTTTTGAATAGTTGGGACAAACACTATTTAGCCTGTAAAGTACAAAATATTTGTCACTCTTTACAAAAGTTCACCAATTCTTCCTCTAGCGTATATCATATTTCCTTTGATGAAGGCTTATACTGGGTTGAAGAGATGTTTTTTCATCTACATATGTACTTTCAGTAAACCCAACTGATCGATGTATTATAATTCCAAATCTTCTGTTTTAAAATAGGCAGTGAATCTAAATTTCAAAATTGAGCTTTAGGCTGTTATACTTAGTTCTCGTTAATAATTCTATGCAAACTCCTATTTCTTCTGCCTCAGAATTTGAAAACACCCATACACTCATTGATTTTTATATTTCATACATCTGTTCATTATAGTTAGACTACGTTTGGAAGATTGTAATTATGAATATTCTGATTATACTATTTACATTGTAGACCTCAATGTATCTCACCATACTGTAGAAAATTTCATCTTTTATTTATTCATTTTTAATTTGTTACAATATGTTTATTGATTGTATTAATTTTTTTTTTTGCTTTTTCTTTATTGTTGTGCAATTACAGTTTTCCCAATGTTCCCCCCATTAGTCTCCCCCGCCCCATTGCCTTTGTCCATGGGTCCTTTATGCATGTTCCTTGAAGACCCTTCCCTTTCTTCGCTTCCTTATCTGTCTCTCCCCTCCCCTCTAGTTACTCTCAGTTTGTTCCTTATTTCCATGTCTCTGGTTATATTTTGCTTCCTTGTTTGTTTTGTTGATTAGGTTTGACTTAGATGAGATCATATGATATTTGTCTTTCACCACCTGGCTTATTTAACTTAACATAATACTCTCTAGGTCCATCTATGCTGTCATGAAGGGTAGGAATTCCTTCTTCCTTTCTGCTGCATAGTATTTCATTGTGTAAACATACCACAGTTTTTTGATCTACTTATTTACTGATGGGCACTGAGGCTATTCCCAGCACTTGGATATTGTAAATTACGTTGCTATGAACACTGGGGTGCATAGGTTCTTTTGAATTGGTGTTTCAGAATTCCTAGGGTATAATCCCAGTAATGGAATTGCCCGGTCAAAAGGCAGTTCCATTTTTAGTTTTTTGAGGAGATTCCATACTTTTTTCCACAGTGGCAGCACCAGCTTGCATTCCCACCAACAGTGCACTAGGATTCCCTTTTCTCTACAACCTTGCAGCATTTGCTGTTTGTTGCCTTGTTTATGATAGCCACTCTGACTGGTGTGAAATGGTATCTCACTGAGGTTTTTAATTTGCATCTCTCTGATGGCTAGTGGTGCTGATCATCCTTTCATATGTCTCTGGGCCCTCTGCATGTACCCCTGGGAGAAGTGTCTGTTCAGGTCCTTTGTCCATTTTTTAATAAGATTGTTTGTCTTCCTGGTGTGGAGTCCTGTGAGTTCTTTATATTTTGGAGATCATACCCTTGCCCAAGGTTATCGTTGTCAAATATATTTTCCCATATCGTTGGTTCCCTTTTCATTTTGCTGATGCTTTCTTTAGCCATGGAGAAGCTTCTTAATTTCATAAAGTCTCATTTGTTTATTCTTTCCTTTATGTCCCTTGCTCTAGGGGACATATTGGTGAAAATATTGCTGTGTGGGATATCTGAAATTTTCCTTCCTGTATTCTCTTCTAGGACTTTTATGATGTTACCACTTATAGTTAAGTCTTGTATCCATTTTGAGTTTATTTTTGTGTATGGTGTAAGTTGGTACTCAAGTTTCATGTTTTTTCATATAGCTGTCCAGATCTCCCAGCACCATCTATGAAGAGGCTATTTCTATACTATTTTATGCTTCTGCCCCCTTTGTCAAATATTAATTGGCCATAGAAATATGAGTTTATTTCTGGGCTCTTTATTCTGTTGCGTTGATCTATGTGTCTGTCGTTATGCCAATACCAGACTGTTTTGATTACAGTGGCCTTGTAATGCAGTTTGATATCAGGTATTGTGATCCCTCCTATTTTGCTCTTCTTTCTCAAAATTGCTGCGGCCATGAGGAGTCATTTCTGATTCCATATAAATTTTTGAAATGTTTGTTCTATAACTGTGAAATATGTCATTGCTATTTTAATAGAGATTGCGTTGAATCTATAAATGGCTTTGGGTAGTATGGACATTTTGATGACATTAATTTTTCCAATCAATGAGCACACTATATGTTTTCATTTATTTGTGTCTTCTTTAATTTCTTTGTCAGTGTTGTGCAGTTTTCTGAGTACAGGTCTTTTACTCTTTGGTTAGGTTTATTCTTAGGTACTTTATTTTTCTTGTTGCTATAGCAAATAGGATTTTTTCCTGATTTCTGTTTCTGATATATTGTTGGTATAACAAAATGTCTTTAATTTCTAAATATTGTGTTCTGCTGTTTTGCCAGATTCACTTATTAGATTGAGTGGTTTTTTGGAGTCTACAAGGTTTTCTGTGTATACTATCAAGTCCTCTGCAAACAATGACAGTTTTACTTCCTTCTTTCCACTTTTGGATGCCTTTTTCTGGTCTAATTGCTATGACTAGAACTGCCAGTACTATGTTGAAAGAAGTGATGAAAGTGGACGTTCTTGTCTTGTTCCTGGATCTTAGTGGAAAAGTTTTTATTTTATGCCCATTGAGTATGATAGTGGCTGTAGGTTTCTCGTATATGGCCTTTATTATGTTGACATATGCTCCCTCTATTCCCATTTTGCTGAGTGTTTGTATCATAAATGGATATTATACCTTATCTAATGCTTTTTCCACATCTGTTGATATGATCACATGATTTTTGTCTTTCCTTTTATTTATGTGATGTATTACATTTATTGATTTCCAAATATTTACACTGTTTGCATCCCTGGAATGAATCCCACTTGATCATGGTGGATAATCTTTTTAATGTATAGCTGGATGAAGTTTGCCAATATTTTGTTGAGAATTTTAGCATCTATGTTCATCAGCAATATTGGCGTGTAGTTTTCTTTCTTTGTTGTATCTTTATCTGATTTTGGGGTTAGGATGATGCTGGCCTCGTAAAAAGAGTTTGGGAGTCTTCCCTTTTCTTGGATTTTTTGGAATAGTCTTAGAAGGATAGGTGTTAGCTCTTCCTCAAATGGTTTGTAAAATTTTCCTATGACACCATCCTGTCCAGGATTTTTGTATGCCAGGAGATTTCTAATTACTGCTTCAATTTCACTAGCTGTTATCAGTCTGTTCAGGCTTTTGCTTCTTGACTCAAGTTTGGAAGACTATATTTTTCTAGAAATTTGTCCATTTCACCCAGGTTTTCAAATTTCTTGACATGTACTTGTTCGTAGTAATGTCTTACAATCACTTCTATTTCTGTGGTGTCAGTTGTAATCTCTCCTCTTCCATTTTTTATTTTATTTATTTGGGTGTTGTGTTGCAGCTTCCCTAGGCTGGGCTGGTCCACTCGAGATTCAGGTAGACGGAAGAAAATGCATGGAGCTGTAGGGATGCTTGACATGCCTTTATTTGGGAGAGTCACACAGGTTACAAGCCTGTGTCTATGTCGGTGCCCCTTCCTCAGGCGTCACACAGGTCGCAAGCCCACGTCTATATCAGCACCTTGGGTCCCTCACTAACTCCCTCTCTCCCAGTGAGAAGCCCCTCCTTCCTTAAGGACCAGCAGAAACAAAGCTGGCCTCAGGCCCAGTAATGAGGTAACCTGGCATGAAGTGCACATGCCAGCCTACTAAATGCTAAGGGGCAGTTTATTGCACCCAGATTCAAGGTCGTGAAACCCAGGCTCAAAGCTGTGAGAAGCTGCTCCCCCTAGTTACCCAAGTACCTTGGGTGAGGAAGCCAGACTATCTCCACTTACCCTACAGGTCCTCTTTCTTTTTTTCTTGATGAATCTGATTAAAGGCTTGTTGATTTTTGTTTTTTCAAAAAACCTACTCCTGAATTTATTGATCCTTTGAATTGTTCTTTGAGTCTCTATGTCATTTAATTCTGCTCTGACTTGGTCATTTCCTTCCCTCTGCTCGCTCTGGGCTTTGTTAGTTGTATTTCCTCCAGTTCTTGTAGAGGTAGGGTTAGGTTGTTTATTTGACATGTTTCTATCTATTTTAGGTAGACTTGTATTGCTATGAACTTCTGTCTCAGGATTGCCTTCACTGTGTTGCATGGGTTTTGGGCTATTGTGTATTTATTTTCATTTGTTTCCAGAAACTTTTTGATTTTTTCCTTGATCTCATTATTAACCCATTCATTGTTTAATGGCATGCTATTCGACCTCCATGAGATTGAGTGTTTTTGAGTTTTTTCCTTGAGGTTGGTTTCTAGTTTCAGGTGCTTGTGGTATGAGACGATGTTTGATGTAATTTCAATTTTCTTGATTTTGTTGAGGCTTGTTTTGTGTCCCATCATGTGGCCTACCTTTGAAAATATTCCATGTAATGAATGTGTATTTTGCATCTTTGGGATGAAACCAGTTAAGTGCATTTGATCTAGGTGGTTATTGCAGTGCCGTAATATCCTTGTTGATACTTTGTTTGGAAGATCTATCCATTGTTGACAGTGTGGTGTTAAAATCCCCTAGTATAAGTATGTTGCTGTCTATATCTTTCTTGAAGTCCTCCAAAATTTTCCTTATATATTTCAGTGCTTCTATGTTGGGTGCATATATATTTACAATGTTTATGTCTTGATGGATTTTTCACTTATTATGAAGTGTCTTTATATGTTATGTCTCTTCTTATGGCCTCTGTTTTGAAGTCTGTTTTATCTGATAAAAGTGTTGCTTCCCCAGCTATTTTTCCTATCCATTTGCTTGGAATATCTTTTTTCCAAACTTTGACTTTCAGTCTTTGTAGGTCTTTTTTTCTGAGGTGAGTCTCTAGTGTGCAGCATATGTGCGGGTCATGTTTTCTTATCTATTCAGCTACCTTATGTTATTTGATTGGAGCATTTAATCCATTTACATTTAAAGTTATTATTGACAGGTACTTATCATTTCCAAATTTACCCTTTGTACTTGTGTTCCTCTCTCTGTTACTCTTTTACTTTCTGTTTAAAGCAGTCCCTTTAGCATGCCTTTCATTGTTGGTTTGGTGGAGGTGTATTCTTTTAGCCTTCTTTTGTCTGGGCAACTCCTTATTTTGCTTTCCATTTTAATTGAGAGCCCTGCTGGGTAGTATAGTCTTGGTTACAGGCCTTCGTTTTTCATTACTTGGAATCTTTCTTTGTCATTCCTTTCTGGCTTGTAGTATTTCTGTTAAGAAATCAACTTCTAGCTTTATTGGAGCTCCCTTGTATGTTACTTCCTGTTTCTCTCTTGCTGCCTTTAAGATTCTCTTTTTGTGTCTGACATTTGGCACTTGATTTATGATGTGTCTTGGAGTAGGCCTCTTTGGATTCATCTTGATTGAGTCCTTTGTGCTTCCTGAACTTGAGTTGCTTTTCCCCTTTCCAGGTTAGTTAAGTTATCTGTCCTTGTTTTTCCAAACAGGTTTTCTATCCATTGCTCCTTTTCTTCTCCTTCTGGTATTCCTATGATTCGGTGTTGCACTTCATGTTGTCCTGCAGTTCCCTTAAGCTATCTTCATATTTTTTTAGTCTTTTTTTCTTGCTGCTCTTCTACCTGGTATTTTTTTCTACCTTGTCTTCCAGCTCACTAATTGAGTTCTCTGCTTCATTCAGCCCTCTAGTAATTTCCTTCTAGTGTGTTTTTTATTTTAAATATTGTATTCTTTATGTCTTCCTGGTTCTTGTTTATAGTTTCTGTTTCCTTTTTCATGCTGTTTTAGTGCCTACTCAGTTCCTTGTACTTTTCACTGAGTTCCTTGAGCATTGTTATAACCATTTGTTTGTTTCCTTGTCTGATACTTTGCTTGCCTCCATTACATTAAGCTTTTACTTGGGATCATTCCATTCCTTTCAATTGCGAGTTCTTTCTTTGTCTCCCCATTTTAGGTGACTCTTTTTGTTTGTTTCTGTGGTTCCAGATGCCTGCTGTCTCCGAGGGGTGAACTTATGTGGTAGGGATTCTTTGGGACTCAGTGTTGCGGCGGTCTCTTGATCTTCTTGTTTGGATGCTCTAGGGTTGCCCTTTCTACCATTTGTGTGGGCTCTCTTGTTGTATTTGGGTTTTACCTGTAGGTGGCTTCTTTGTTGGTGGGTTCTCCCCTCCAGTGGGCTTACTGGTATTCAAAACTCCCACCTTGTCTTTTATGCTATTGTACAGGTATTGGTTAACAAAGTAGTATTACCAGAAAACCAAACCTATGCCAGCAAAAAGAATTCCCCTACCACATCAGCAGTCTCAACCACAATTGAACTAAGATTAATAAAGGTGAAAAGAGATTGTAGATATTATAAGATATGTCAAAGGGCATATGAGATGACTAAAAGAGGGGAACTGTTATTGCATGGTAAGAAGGAGAATTGATTAAGAGTTGGGCTATAACTGAGGCAAAGTAGAGCGAGAACAAAATTTAAAATGTAAGTAAAACACGAAAGGGTGATGGGAACAATGGGGGAATATACTGTGTGGTTTCAAGTAAAATTAAAAAGGTACTGGACCAACAGGAACAAAATTGCAGATAAACCACAGTAGGGTTCATAGCAACGGCAGCTCAATGAGTTTAATACAGGTAGAATGGAAATGAGAATATTGGAGAAAAGTGAAAATGAATATGAGATGTCTACAGTAAAGAAAAATGATTTTGAGAGGATGAGGGAAGTAAACTAATAAGAGTAAGGAATAAAGCCCACCTTGAGAGGGGAAAGAATAAAAAAGGGGGGTGAAGAGAAACCAATGAAATAAAATACTTCATTCAGCTGATCATGGGTCGGGGAAGGCAAAATGGAGTAAGACAACAGGAGAGTATTCTATGGGATTTAAAATACAAAGAAACAGTGAACAAATAGGTATTCCTTTAGGGAATTACGGCCGTAACTGTGGTATTTCACCCAACTAGCCACTGTTTATAAAGGGTGGAAAAGAAGTAAGACTCTTATTAGAGGGAGAAAAGAATGTGAGCTGACTTAACAAAGAGCGCTTAGGTGATGTTAGGTGGAGGAGAAATAGTGAGAGTAAAGGACAAAGTTGGCACAGTGTGAAAGAAATAAGGTTTACAACAACGGCTATAAAGCTCAGGAAGATGGCAAAATGGATTAAGCCCAGGAAAGGGTGCCCTGTGGGATTTGGAATAACAATTGTATGGTAAGAAATATATAACCTGAATGAAAAGAATAAAAGGTAAAAGAACAAGAGTAGTGAGTTATTTGGAATATGAGTGAAGTGAAAGTAAAAACATTAATGCAATACACAAGGGAGAATTAAAAAAAAAAAAAAAAAACTGAACGGAAAGAAGAGAAGTTTTTTCAAGTTCTGCTGAAGAGCAAAATGATATTTGTCTCAGCTGTTTGTGTTTGCCTTCTGACTTCTTTCTCGATCTGTCTCTGGTTTTCTTGCGGCTCCAGGTCTCACTGTCTTACCCTTCAGGAAAAATAAAAAAGAGCCTGCCCAGCCAGTTTCGCAGATCTTCCCAGTTCCTGCAGGCAGAGGGGGGCTGGGCTCCTTTTGTTTTTTGTTGTTTTTTTTCTTTCCGGTGGTTCTGCAAGGATGGTGGCTCAGTCTGGGCTACAATAATCAGAGGTGTCCAGTTTCCAGCCAAGGCCCTCAGAGCAATGTGCGGCCCACACTCTCCACTCTGTGCATTTGCCCCCTGCCAGTGCCAATAAAGCCACCTCATTTTGCCCTGCTCTGATCAGTCCATGAGGTTCCCTGAATTGGAGAAAATTGTATCCCCGCTCCTCAGCATCTTCATTTGCCTGGTTGCTGCATGTGAGACCCCCACACTGAGCACCTCAGGTCTCCTTTTGAAAAAAGCCTCTTTGGGCACCACTGATGCTCCTAACCACTGCAGGGCTTTCCAAACAGTCCAACCCTCTGGCAAGTCCAGAGTCTATCTCAGTCACAGCCAGTCACAGCCCACCTCTTCTCTCAGCTCCAGGTGTCACCAGGATCCCCCAAATTCTCTGACAGTGCCCTGACGGGCAACTGCCCTCCCAGCCTGGGTACTCCCATCAGCTGTGTGTCAGTTGCTGCCTTTTTTCTCTCCCCAGTGACTTTATGTGTCCAGATCTCTCCTGGTGCAGGTCTGGGACTTCCCTGCCCTGAAGGAGGAGGGAGCCACTAGGCTGCTATCACTGACTCAGCTGTCCTCCAATGTACCCACGGCAGCTACAGTCTTTGGCAACAGGCCCAGGGACCTTGGCATCAGCCTATAAAATCTTGCCACCCATTTTGAAGCATCCTCCGCACAATTTGGCTTCCAAACTTCATATCAACTGAGATTCTGTTGGCAGTTCACTTTGTTTTTCAGAAGACCAGCTAAGTGTCCCACTCGAGCACATGAGCTAGTGGGCTCAGCTCCCATCTATATAACCACCATCTTTGAAACCTGTTTATTGATTTCAGAGAGTGAGGAAAGGAGAGGGGGGAGAAAGAGAGACTACAATTTGTTGCCTCCCATATGTGCCCTGACTAGGGATCAAACCCACAACCTAGGCATGTTCCCTGAATGGGATCAAGCCCCCAACCTTTTGGCATACAAGACGATGCTCCAACTAACTGAGCCATACCAGTCAGGGTTGAATTTTATCTTCTTTTAATGATACAAATGTTCTCATCTATTTTCTTTCTATAAATACAATTTCAAATTCAAAGAAACTTACTTTGGAGCTATTTTGAATTGTATTATCATTCAAAAATTGCTTAAAAGGTGCACTGGACATAATCATGTAGGCTGTGCACTGTGAAATTTTAGGGGAGAGGGCTCTGATTTTTATTGCTAACAAATGTGACTGAGACCTACACCCTGGAGTGTGTAACATAGTGGGTTTGATACTTAATGTAAAACATCTCTCCTTGGGTTTCTATACAATGGTTTCTTTTTAAAGATTAGTACTTTACGGTTTAAAGTACTGTCATAATCAATTCACGTGTCATAAGACTACCTGAATTGAGATTCTGCCATAGGTTTTAGCCTGGTAAAAAAAGTATTCAGAATCTTAGTATGGTCTTTTAACTGTTCAAATAAAATGACATATATGATACCATTTTTTTCCCCTGATTTCCTCCATTTTCCATTTTGGATTTCTTGCCCTTATTTAGAGTGGCCGGCAGAAAGGGAGAAGGTGAAGAAAGCTGCAGATCACTGTCGTCAGATCTTAAATTATGTAAATCAGGCTGTCAAGGAGGCAGAAAACAAACAGGTAAGAAGGGAAAAAGCGAGATGATATAGGATGACATAGTGAGAATATTAACTTAGTGTTTCCTGGAATCTGTGCAATAACAATTGAAAGGTGGACATTTGTTAACTATTCATGTAGTATATAGGTCTATATATTTGTGCTAGAACATCAGAGTAGTAGTATTTGAGCATCTCTAGCTAGTTGTTTGCTCATTCATTCAACAGGTATTTATAGAGTATCTATTGTATGCTGAGTGTAAGATATAAAGTGGTTGAAAAAATGGGTACAATAATTGTCCCCACTGAGCTTGCTTTCTAGTAGGATGGAATGGCATTGAACAAATTATAGTACAAGTATTCAGTATTTTATATCAGTTGTGATAGCTGCAATGAAGGAAAATTTCAGGATGCCAAAAGTGTCTAACCTCGGGAGCAGAGATAGTTTGAGGGTGTTAGGTAGTGGCCATCAGAGTAAGCTTCTTGAGCAGTTGACATTTAAGCCAACCTCTGGAAGATGAGCTTGAAGGATAAAGTGAAATAAAATAGTGTGGAACGGGGCAACCTTACAAATACAGGGAACAGAATGTAGAAAAGCCTTAGGGTAAAAAAGCATTGTCTCTTTGAGGAACTGAAAGATGAGATTAGTGTTTATCATGCCTAAATGCAAAGTCATCGTGATATGATGAAGTGAGATACAGTAGGCGAGGGCCAAATCATACAGGGCCCTGTAGACAATGTTAAAGATTTTGGTTTTTATTCTAAGAGCTCTGGGAATTTATTGTAATCAGAATTGGCATGTTCAGGTTTTTCTAAGCATCACTCAGCTACTCTGTGAAAAATGGATTGAAGAGGTAAGAGATTAGATGAAAGAGCTCACTTAGGAATCTGAGCAGTCTAGGATAGATGATGGTGGCTTAGAGAAGTGCAAGAATTGGAAAAGTATTTAGAAGATAAAATTGACAGGACTTGGTGCCTGATTTAGAGAAAGATTTGAAGAGAGATGTCAGGAATAAATCCAAGGTCTCTGGCTTGCACATTTGGATGAACAGGATGAGTAGAGAAGCCCTAGATATGTGGGGAGGATTATGAATTCAGTTTGCAATATCAGGTGAAAGTGTACAGTAAACAATTGGCTATATATACCCACTTCTAAGAGGACTGTAATGAAGGTAAAAATAGAAGATAGTATATAGAGGCTTACCAAATCGATAGACCTGGATATAATTTCTTAGGAACTGAATATGATGACTGCTTTGTTGGTAAGTCTATCGGAAAACAGGTACTTCTGAGTGTATTGTTTGGAGTATAAATAAAATAATAAACCCCAAAGGGCAATCTGACAGTGTTTATCTAAATTAAAAATACACATATTTATACATCGACCTTTTGACCCAGCAATTTCCTTGTTATTCTCAAAAGAAATGAAGACATGTGCCCGGATACTAATACAGGAATGTTTATAACATAAACCAAATGTGGTATAATCATAAATGAGAATAATACCAGCAATAAAAAGGAGTGACCCACTGATAGAAACAACATAGATAAATCTCTCAAACATTATGCTGAATGAAAAAACACACACACACACACACAAAAGCATATGTACATATAATTCTATTTATATAAACTTCTAGAACAGACTAAACTAATTTATGGTGGAAAAATAATAGAAAAGTGGTTGTCACTGGGGATGTGGGATAGATATTAATAATGAAAAAGTATGAGGGTGATGGAGTTCGATTGCACAGGCGTACATGCATCTGTAAAAATTTGTGGAAAGGTACATTTAAAATATGTGCAAGTATTTTACTCTGTAAATTTTACTTTATAAAAAGAACTATAAACAAATATTGAACTGTTAATTACAAGAATGCTAAAATGTTTAGAGGTAAAGTGTGCTTATATCTGTAACTTATTTTGAAATGCATCTAAAATATAAGATGGGTTGATGGATATAGAGATGACTAATGGATGAATATATGACAAAACAAATATAGCAAATGTTAATTATAGAATGTAGGTGGTGGGTATATGGGTATTCAGTATATACATTCAAACTTTTCTATGTATTTGGAAGTTTTTATAATCTTGGGGAAAATACAAGAACGCTTTGATCTAACAGTTCTTTAAAAATTTAATCTACAGCTATATTTACACTTGTGTGCAAAAGTATATGTTTAGGCCATTTTATTCCAGTGTTGTTATAGGAGAAGATTTGAAGTAACCTACATATCCATTAGGAAGTTGTAGTTGAATAAGCTATACCTCATTGAGAGTTGAATAACATGCAGCCATTAAAAAAAGAGAGACAGCTCTGTGCTAAATGTGGATAAATCTTCAAGATGTTTTGATGAGTGATACACATACACAGAATAATGTGTATATAAATATATTACGCTACTATATCTTTTTTGAAGGATATATACACATACATAATATATACAGAGACAAGCATACATGTATATTCTTTTTGGTTAGAAATGTTCCCGTAGACTACTAACGAAATGGGTATTTCTTCAAAGGAGAAATTGGGGCTGAGGAGGCCAGAGAACAGGGTTGGAGCGAGAGTTACTTTTTATTGTGTGTCTTGCATTACCTTCTGAATTTTGTACCATGTACAAAATTTACATATTCTGATTCAGATTCTGATTTACATATTCAGAAAATAAATATAAGCTAGTTAGAGGCCAGTGAGTTTGAAAAGATTGAGAAAGAAGAGCCAAAGGTATAAGACAAAAACTAAGAGAGTTTTCAATGCCAAGGGAAGGAGTATTTGAAGAAAGAGTGAGTTGTCAGTGTTGTCTAGTAAGGCAGAGAGCTCTGTAAAATGTAAGTTAAAAAATGTTCATTTGATTTAGGAATTGGGAAGTCATTGATATCCAAAGCAGTAACCTTTGCTCTATCCTGTCTCATTTTCAGCGTTTAGAAGATTATCAGCGTCGCCTTGATACCTCCAATCTGAAGTTGTCAGAATACCCAAATGTTGAAGAGCTCAGGGTGAGGGATGGTCTAATAATTATTTAAAAAATAAAATTTACTAGAGACCTGGCAGGTAATTAACGTCTCAGCAGGAACATATATTACCTGAAGGAGTTCTTTCTTTTAAATGTCTCATCTGTGTAAAGATTACTTTAGTCTTTCACTAAAGGAACATTTCTTTTTTTTTCATACACACGCACGCACGCACATTTTATTGATTTTGCTAATACAGTTGTCCCATTCCCACCACCCCACCACCCCCGGCCTTAATTCATGTCCATTGGTCGTGCATATAACTTCTTTGGCTTCTCCATTTTCTATACTATTCTTAATGTCCGCTGCCTATTTTGTACCTACCAAATATGCTTCATATTCACTGCACCTTTTCCCCCATTCTCCCCCTCGTCCTTCCCGCTGATAACCCTTCTTGTGATCTCCATTTCTGAGATTCTGTTGTTCTTCTAGTTGTTTGCATAGTTTGTTTTTGGGGTTTTTTTGTTTGTTTGTTTTTTTAGGTTCAGTTGTTGATAGTTGTCAGTTTGTTGTCATTTTACTGTTCACAGTTTTGATCTTCTTTTTCTTAGATAAGTCCCTTTAATATTTTATATAATAAGGGCTTAGTGATGGTGAACTCCTTTAACTTGACCTTATCTGGGAAGCACTTTATCTGCCCTTCTATTCTAAAGGATAGCTTTGCTGGATAGAGTAATCTTGGATGTAGGTCCTTGCCTTTCATGACTTTGAATACTTCTTGCCAGCCCCGTTTTGCCTGCAAGGTTTCTTTTGAGAAATCAGCTGATAGTCTTATGGGAACTCCTTTGTAGGTAACTCTCTCCTTTCCTCTTTCTGCTTTTAAGAGTCTCTCCTTTATCTTTAATCTTGGGTAATGTAATTACGACGTGCCCTGGTGTGTGCTTCCTTGGGTCCAAGTTCTCTGGGACCCTCTGAGATTCTTGGGTCTCCTGGAAGTCTGTTTCCTTTGCCAGATTGGGGAAGTTCGCCTTCATTATTTTTTCAAATGAGTTTTCAATGTCTTGCTCTTCCTTTTCTCCTTTTGGCACCCCAATGATTTGGATGTTGGAATGTTTAAAGATGTCCCAAGAGGTTCCTAAGCCTCTCCTCATTTTTTTGAATTCTTGTTTCTTCATTCTGTTCTACTTGAATGTTTATCTCTTCCTTCTGCTCCAAATCATTTATTTAAGTCCTGGTTTCCTTTCCTGTACTGTTGGTTCTCTGTGTATTTTTCTTTATTTCACTTTGCATAGCCTTCTCTTTTTTCTCCATTCTGTGACCGTACTCAACCAATTCAGTGAGCATCCAGGTAACGAGTGTTTTGAATTGCACATCTGATAGGTTGGCTACCTTTTCATCGCTTAGTTCTGTTTTTGGAGCTTTGATCTGTTCTTTCATTTGGGCCATGTTTCTTTGTCTCAGCCAGCTTGTTATATTGGAAGTGGCAGAGTCTTAGGTATTCACTGGGGTGGAGCCTTAGATATTTGCCAGGGCAGGGCAACCCAGGTCGCTGTGTTGTGATGCTGTATGTGGGGGAGGAGTCAGAGAGGGAACAATGCCACTTGCTCAGAGCTCACCTGACTTTCAGTCACTTCCCCCGCTACCCAGAAGCAAACTGGGCCCTTCACCTCCCAACTGATTCCCAGGTGGGTGGGCTTGTGTACCTTCTAAGACCCCGTGGGTCTCTCCAACGTACTGTTCTTTGAGGTTGGGAGTTTCTCCCACCACCGCATCTCCAACAGGTTTTTATAGCCAGAGGTTTTGAGGCTTTCTTTTCCCATGCTGGAACCCTGCGTTGCACGGTCTGTCTTGCTCCCCAGCAGTTCTTCCTGGTTTATCCTATCCTTACACGAATGTGGGACCTCCAGGTCCAGCAGCCACTGCCCCACCCTCCCAGTCCTCCAGCAGCCTTGCTGCATGTCATCTCTACCCCTCCTACCAGTCTTGGTGAATGTTTCTTCTTCAAATCCTTGGTTGTCGAATTTCCATACTGTTCGATTTTTTGGCAGTTCTGGTTATTTTTTGTTCTTAAGTTTGTTGTCCTCCTTTTGGTTGTGCAAGGAGGATAAAGGAACATTTCTGTGAAACCGTTTTGTGCTAGAAATTTGCAGAATACTAAAGAACATTGCTTACTAAGTTTATTATATTGTATAGTTTGAATAAGAGTAGAGCTGTTTACTATGGGAACTTTATTAATTGTCACTTCTAGTACATGAGGCTTTTCTATTAACAACTCCTTAGGATTTCAAGTTTTGTACTGTTGCACTAGGTGGTTATTTTGGCAAATTTATTTGGTGACTGTTAAAATAGATTTCTATGTCATATAAGAGCTTATCAAAAAGCATACTGATGTGCTTAGCCCTGACCATAAAATGAGGTTTTTCTGGAATACTTATACTAAAAGATGATTCTTTTACTAAGTTATTAGTATTTATATCAAGCCTGAGTACTTTGTGGACTTTTCATAAGTGCAATTCGTTAGAAGTTTCTTTGGAACTAGAGCCTCGAATTCAGAGCACTGTTACAAAAAAGCTATGCATTACCCTCATCTAGTTATTTATAAAAATTAAGTGGATTGAGAATCTGGTGGCTTAATATTTACAGCTTTTTTTTTTTGTACTTTATTTTCATTGTTTGAGCTATTATAAATGTCCACATTTTCTCTGCCCTTTGCCCACCCCCACTCCCCCTTCTTTCTAGCCATCACCACACTATTGTCTGTGTCCATGGGTTATGCATATATGCTCTTTGGCTAATCCCTTCACCTTCTTTCTTCCAGTCGTCCCCCACCTCATCCCCTCTTGACATCTGTCAGTTTGTTCCATGTGTCACTGCCTCTGTTTCCACCGTTTGTCAGTTTATTTTGCTCATTAGCTTCCATATGTAAGAAGGAACTCTTGCCTTTTGTGACAGCATGGATGGACCTGAAGATTATTATGCTAAGTGAAATAAGCCAGTTAGTGAAAGACAAATATAGCTTTATTTTTATGAGCTAATATCATCTATTTACAGTGAGATTTAGAAGACAGTACTCCTGAATGTTTTCCAAGGTCCTTTTCCTTCTTAGAAAACTTTATGCAGTTTAACTTGCTCTTTATTTCATTTTCAGTATTTGACAGATACCAATAATAATAGTGAATGTAAATGGTATTTTTATATTACGGATTTCTTGAAAAGAGACTATGTGAAATATTACCCAACTAAATGCTTGGAAATCATTTATATAATTCTTTCTATTTTGACAGAATTTGGATTTAACAAAAAGGAAGATGATTCATGAAGGGCCATTGGTTTGGAAGGTGAATAGAGATAAAACTATTGGTAGGTCAGATAATCTGTCAATTTTGGGGAGAGTGGAGAAAGAAAGAAAATAGGAAAGTTTCTCAAGAGAGAGAACCATTCATAGTTTTTAGTTAAAAAACAGTGAACAATTCTACTTTGTGTTATCTATGCATTTATAGAAGAGATGCCTATGTGATTTTACTATATGTGAACTGTCACATACTCATTGAGGGATGAAGCAGAAAACTTTATCATCATTCTCTCTCTATCATTCTTGTATTTGAATGAGTATAGGCTTTCTTTAAATCACTAAAACTAAAACTGACTGTTATTCAAGGAACCATTGTTTTACATTTCATGTCAGACATGGACTAACACTTTAGTGTACTAGTGAAGTACAATAAAAATGAGTGAAACTAGACCACCAACTTATACCATACAGCAAAATAAACTTGAGATGGATAAAAGACTTAAATATAAGTCATGATGCCATAAAAGTCCTAGAAGAAAACATAAACAGGAAAATTTCAGATATCCCACACAGCAATATTTTCACTGATAGATCAGGAAAGCATGAACAAATGGGACCACATCAAATGCAAAAGCTTCTACACGGCTAAAGAAAACATCAACAAAATGGAAAGGGAACCAACCATATGGGAAAACATATTTGCCGTTGATTCCTTAGACAGGGTTTGATCTCCAAAATATATAAGGAATTCACATGACACCACTCTAGGAAGATCAAAAAAAAAAGCAGTTAAAAAATTGGCAAATAACCTGAACAGACAGTTTTCCAAGGAGGACATACAGAGGGCCGAGAGACATATAAAAGGATGCTCAGCATGACTAGCCATCAGAGAGATGCAAATGAATTAAAACCACAGTGAGATACCACTTTACACCAGTCAGAATCGCCATCATAAACAAATAAGCAAACAACAAGTGCTGGCGAAGTTGTGGAGAAAAAGGAACCCTAGTATGCTGTATTGGTGGGAATGCAGAGTCATGCAGCCGCTGTGGAAAACAGTGTGGAATTTCCTCAAAAAAACTAAAAATGAAACTGCCTTTCTATCCAGTGTTCCCACTGCTAGAACTATACCCTAAGAATCCTGAAACACCAATTCAAAAGAACCCATGCACCCCAGTGTTCATAGCAATGTTATTTACAATAGTGAAGTTCTGGAAACAGCCTAAATGCTCATCAGTAAATTCATGGATCGAAAAACTGGTACATTTGCACAATGGAATACTACATAGCAGAAAGAAAAGAGGAACTGCTACTCTTTGCCACAGCATGGATGAAACTGGAGAGAATTATGCTAAGTGAAATAAGGCAAGCAGTGAAAGATAAAAACCATATGATCTCACCCATAGGTAGAACTTAATTAACAAAACAAACATATGAGCAAAATAGAACCAGAAACTTGGAAATAAAGAACAAATGGACAGTGACCAGAGTGGAGGGGGGAAGGGGGTTAATGGCAGGGGGGAAGGGAAGGGGCAAGCAAAGGAACAGGAACGCAGGACTAATGGATATGGACAATGGTGGGGGCAGGTTGACTGTGGGAATGGGCAGGGCGGTACAGGGGTGAGCAACTGGGAAAAGGCAGAACAACTGTAACTGAATGACAATAAATAAAAGACAATAAGTCAATTATTAAAATACACTAGATTTAACAGAAAATTTCTCTGTTGAATTGTTATGAAGTTTATAAAACACATCTCAATTTCTGTACTAATCACCTTTTCCTGTATTTTTTATTTCTAGATCTATATACATTGCTTCTGGAAGACATTCTTGTATTGTTACAAAAGCAGGATGATAGACTGGTATTAAGGTGTCATAGTAAGATTCTGGCATCTACAGCTGATAGCAAACACACATTTAGCCCTGTCATTAAGTTGAGTACAGTGTTGGTTCGACAAGTGGCAACAGGCGAGTATGTCTGCTGAATGATCCTAACCCCTAGTTTCATTTTAAAATTATGTAAGATATTCAATATTATTTAATATAGCACAACTGACACAACTGACATAAAATTTTTTCTCTTTATATTTTTATACAAATTAAATGAAATTTATTTACTGCTTATAAAGTGAATTAAGGGTTTATACTACCTAATTAGGACACCTAGGCTCTGAGTGATTTTCTGCATTTGAAAATTTTCTGCGTACTGCTTTGATCTTTACTTCATATTCAAAAATCATTGACAGACATCAATAAAAATAATGAATTGGAAAGTAATCCCAGTGTAAAGGCTTTCATTAGAGTGGTATGCTTTTTTGATTTGGCAGGGAAAAAAAGCAAAAGACAAAACCTGAAGATGTGGGTGTAGTTTGGTTTTTTGAAATCGGTTTAAGTTAGCAAATTATTAAAATATTAACAATGAGATCCATTTTTTAAATTAATATACTGTTGACCCTATTACAGGTGTCCCCTTTTCTTGTCCTTTGCCTGCCTCTACTTATCCCCTAGCTCTGTTTCCTCTGTCCATCCCCACACTATTGTCTGTGTCTGTGACTTATGCATATATATTTTTTGGCTAGCGATCTCTTTTAAAGCCCATTAGTTCCATGATGGCATGGTAAATTTACGACCTCTGTTCTCTAACCCACTGAATATTATTAACGAACTGTTTAGCAAAAGGTCAATTCTAAATAAATGCCAAGAAATCATAGTGTTTAGTTCAGTAACTTAGATAATTGGACTTTTTGTTTCTAATAAATTACTATGGAATCAGTGCTAGTTTTTATAATCTTTGCTTTATTGAAGTATAATAAATACACAATAACATACAATATGTTGCACAATTTTAAGTTGTGTAGCTTGGTGAATTTTTACAAAGTGAACACATGTTTACAGAGTGAACAAATGTAAACTTTATTTGGATTACGTGCAGAGTAACACCAGGACCCTCGAAATGGCCCTTGTAAATCCTGTTCTGAGAATAATTTTTGTCTCCTTTTTTTCCTAGATAACAAAGCATTTTTTGTCATTTCCATGTCAGACAATGGAGCCCAAATTTATGAACTGGTGGCACAGACAGTTTCTGAAAAGACTGTGTATGTATTAGATATAGCTACTTTGCTCTGTTTTTAAATTAAATGTATTGGGGTGACATTGGTTAATAAAATTATATAGGTTTCAAGTGTACAGTTCTACCACACATCATATGTATATTGCATTGTGTGTTCACTGCTCAAAGTCAAGTCTCTTTTCATTGCCATATATATGACCACCTTTACCTTTAGTACCCCCTATCCATTGGTGCTCTAATGAATGTAATTTTTAACGAACTTAACTTTGTTTCTGCAACAGGACTTTGACAACCAAAAAGAAGCAGTTTCTATATAGTCTTTTAGATATGTTCTAAGAACTTATTTCTTTTTAGATGTCTTTCATTTTGATTCTGATCTACTGAAAGTAGTTATTCTAAAGAAAAGATTGAAGAAGGGTCAAGTAAAGTTTTTTAATGGGTAGTGTATCTGTTATATTGTAAGATTTTTCTTTAAGGTATAGAATATTTATAATCTCTACTTAATAGTTATTGCCAAAGTAAATATGTTCTCTGGCAGAAAATAGTTTTTGTTTGTTGGGTTTTATTTTTTGGTTTTGTTTTGTTCGTTTCTGGTTTGTTTTAATTTTTGCTTTCTCGGTGTATTTAAAGGACATTTCTTTTTCCTTTCCCTTTTGCATTTTGGATTCTTTTCAAAATTCCACAGCTGGCAGGACCTAATCTGTCAGATGGCTACATCAGTGAAGGAGCAATCCACAAAGCCAATTCCATTGCCACAGTCACCACCTTGCGAGTGAGTGTGCCTTTGCCTTGTAGGAGGACTGACTTTGTGTTTTTGGTCAGAAAAGGAATGGGTAATTTTACATTTTGTTGCAATGATATATAGACACCTCATGAAGTTTAAAGAATGTTTTCTTTCTTCTATAGAGGAGACAATGATGAAGAAGAATCTCCAAAAATAAAAGTGGAACATCATGACATTTCAGTCACTGGTCTGCAGAGCCCAGGTAAATTTTTGTTACTTTACTTGGAAGAATTTAGTCCATATATTACTTATTAAAATGCAGATAAACTTTAACTCTTTTGGTTTATGCAGGTTCTGGCATCAGCTATTTATTTTAACAAACTTTGCTTATGAGTCTTGTAATGCAGCTCTAAGTATGTATCTTACTTAACAGAGAATCTCTAGTTCACATGGTTACTTTTTCCCAAGTATTTCCTGAATGCTTCATGTTAAAAGATATATTCTACTTTTTCTGTTTCATTTAACAGACAGAGATTTGGGATTAGAGTCTCCCTTAATATCGTCAAAAACTCAACCTCATTCATTGGGTGCCTCTGGAAAATCAGAGGTAGATGACCTCTTTGTGGCTGAGAGACAGTTTGCAAAGGAACAGCATGCAGATGGGACTGTAAGGGAAGTTGGAGTAAATTACCAAATCACAATTCCAGATTCATACTTACCTGCCTCAGAAGGACAGTGGGCATTGGATGCACTAAGGAATTGTAAGTTTTATTCATAAGTTAATACAGATAACTTAGTAAGTAACAGAGTTGCATAATGTATTCTGCAGTCATTTTGGGAGAATCCAAAGAAGTATAACTGACTTTTTCCTGCAAGGATTTTACAGTCCAGTTGGGAAGATGATAGAAACTTTGCCCATCTTTTTAAATAAACAAACAGTATAGATTATTTCATAAATTATCCGCTTGGGGTGATCAGCGAAAGGAAGCCTCAGAAAACAAGAGAGATGTGATTAATGCCTTGAAAAATGGGTAAGTTTCTGATAGGCATTTAAAAGAATAGAAGTCACTGAGACAAAAGTAATAGTCAGACCAAAAGCACAGAGAAGAAAAGCTCTAAGAGTGTACAGGGGGCAGTGAGTAGAACAGTTGGCCTGTGGTAGACCGTGTGAGTTACAGGAATCATGGGAGATAAGGTTGGAAAGGTAACAAATGTGTTGTTGAGCTCAGCTGCTGTGAACCTTGAATACCAGATTGAGTCCTCTGTACTTTAAGGATGGCACATCACAGTGTTTTGAGGGTTTGTCAAACTACAAATTATTCTTCTAATATTCTTGTGGAAATTGTAGTAATTTCCTCCAAGGCCCATCCTTCTCACATATTTGCCTGCACACTTGTACACACCCATGAGACTGGATGGGCCTTGCCACTCTGTTAGCTAACCCCCTCCCGCTACAGCCATTCATAGTCAGTTACAAATGGGAATGTATCACTTTTCTCAGTTGTATTTGGAGTTGGGAAAAAGGCTGAGAATGATTGCTTTAGCTGTAGAGAACCATTTGAAGTTTTTAAACTATGTTATGACTAATGAAGAGATTAATTTGACAGAGCTGTAAAAGCATTTTAATGGAAAGAGGTTTGGAGTGGTACAGTTACCATTAAACTATTGTAGTAGCCTGGGCTTGAGGCTGAAAGGGTTTGAACTAGAATGGTGTCAGGGGAATAAGTATAAAATGAGGAGTCAACAAATATTTAAAACAATTGACTTGTTTGGATGTGAGGACAAAGGAAAGGGAAAATTCAGAAACAATTTAAATATTTTTATTGAAATAAAAGTCATGAAGGACCACCACTGCCCACCATCACACTTTTTCCCCCCTTTTTTATTTGCCAAACAATATGGGCTTAATTTTAAAACATTTGCGCTTAATATAATGAGTGACGAACCATTTAAGAAGAAATGATTAGCAGGACATTGGAATTGTTAAGACTGGAACTTCGGAGAGAGACGGATTTGAGTGTCAAAGCCATAAGAATTTAGAGCATCTCTTAGGAAGTGAATGTAAGCAGAAATACCAGAAGATCAAAGACTCACACCTATGTGGAGAAATAGAAGATAGAAGTTAAGCTGGAGTTGAAAGTAGGGAATTAGTCAGGTTCTTTAAAACCTACTTAATTCTAAATTCTCCTGAATTAACATTGATAATGATTTCTTTTTTTTTAATTTTTATTATTTTTCAGTTACAGTTGACATTCAATATTACATTAGTTTCAGGTGTACAACATAGTGGTTAGGCTTTTATAAGTACAATTAAGATTTCTGATGATTTGACTAACCTTGTCCCAGCAACCCTAACCCAATAAGGTCTATGAATGACCTTTCAGCATACACTTGGGCATTCAAAATTGAATTGGTTCTGTTTTTAACAACCTAAGGAAGCTGTGCCATGAGTAAGGCCATTTTTAAATAACTAATAAATATTTCCTTAACTTTTGAAACTATGCACACTACCAGTCATCTCAGAATTAGGTTTTTTTTTTTTTTTTTTTTTTTTACAAAGAAGTCTATTTTCTTCTCCATTTAAGGAAATTCTTCAGGTTACTATAAATGATAAATATTCTGTGTGGCTAATAAAATTAGAAAAAAATGATACCCATGTATATAGTCTCTGCATCTGGAAAAATAGAACTTTCAGGGTTTTTGTGTTTTTTTGTTGGGTTTTTTTTTTTTTTTTTTGGTCTAGCTTAACAGTGTTGCAGCATCCTTTTAAGAAGTACCTTGTGGATATTATTCCAGGTATATGAAAGAAAAAATAGAGAAAGACATGGTTTTGTTTATTTAGTAGTTCTAAATAAGAGTACCTCCCATTGCAAATAACTAGATCTTTTTAAGTCTCGTTTAATATTGAATCACTTGTAGATGGTGCATGATTTCATTTTTCAAACAAAACAAAAAAAGATTATATGAAATTAATATTTTAACTATATGTTACTTAAAAAGGTGCTTACTTTTAGAGATAATTGATAATTCCAGTAACTAATTTAATTTTGGCACTCTGAGGTTATAGTTTTGAATGTGTGTTTTTCTCCCTCCTTCCTAAATCTCTTAGTGGATTTGTTGAAGCAGCTGCTGGTACAAAAGCTGAGTTTGACTGAGAAGAGCACTCAGGAAGATTGGCCACATTTCTCAAGATACAGGATAGCCTCCCCGGGGGTGCAGACAGGCAGTAGAACCCAGAACTTTGAAATTATTAAGGCCTGTCATCCTGCTGAAAGACAGATGTCCTTTAGAACTGGAACTGGTGACATTTCAACTTGTTACAGTCCCCAGGGTTCAACTGAATCTTACGTTCCACGGGATTCAGTGGTACTGGCATTCCAAGATAGCCAGGCAAGTAACATTTTAGTAATGGACCACATGATTATGACCCCAGAGATTCCTCCTGCAGAGCCAGAAGGAGGTCTTGATGAGAGTGGAGAGCACTTTTTTGATGCCTGTGAAGTACATAGTGATGATAATCCATCAGAAGGTGATGGAGCAGTAAAAAAGGAAGAGAAGGATGTTAAGTTACACATCTCAGGCAAGTGCTTTCACATTTAATCTTTGATTTTGATTGTTGTTAACTGTCCTGTGTGCTGAAGTGCATGTTGTTTGAGTTTGCAGGCATCGTGTGTGTGTGTGTGAGAGAGTGAGATGTGTTATTCTTTATTGCACTAAATAATTATTGAATCTACTGTAGATGCTGGGAGATACAGCATTGAATAAACATAAAAAATCAACTATTCTCATGACACTTAAGTGCCTCTGGGGGAAAGCGTAATGATTAAATAAGTAAACAAACAAATGGATGTCAGATATAAGAAGTATTCACAGGAAAAATAAGTTTCACTAAGGGACAGCAGAGAGTAATGGGAGCAGACAAGGTGATCAGGGAAGAGGGCCTCTGCTGAGGTAGCATTTGAGCAGAGACCCAGGGGAAGAAACTACATGGTTATCTGGAGGCAGAGTGTTCTAGCAGAAAACAATATGCACAGGCTATGTGGCAAGAGCAAGTTCTTTGTGGTTAAGGAATATAAGGCGAGGGAGACAAAAATGGTAGAAGAGGCCAAAAAGGTATTTGGCAGGGGAAATGGTGGCAAGATCATACAGGGACTTGGTAGTTTTCAGCTCTTAACTTTTAAAATGCTAACTAATATAAAATTATTCAGAAAATACTGTGAAAGTTTACTAAGTTTAACTTGAACCTGAAGTGAGAAAATTCTGATGCACTTAAAATTAAACTTGGGAATTTTGGACTTTGGGCTTTCACCCCTCTTTAACAGCTTTTAAAGGTGGCAGCAAATCACCCCATTTCTATTTTCTGAAGTTTTGATAGCAGCGCTAATCTCACAAAACTATTCTGTCTTTATCAATAGGAAACTATTTGATCCTTGACAGCTATGAAACAGTGCAGGAGACCTCCACAGATGAAGAGGTCGCCTCCTCGCTTCTTCTGCAACCCATGAAAGGCCTCCCCTTTGTGGACTCTACCCACCAGCTGCAACATTCTCCCCCGAATACTCTTTCTGATGGGGCAGTTTCACCATTCACCTCAGAATTCCTGGTCCAGCAGGGCTGGGGGGCTATGGAGGATTCCTGTTTTGAGATCCAGAGTCCCTCCACTTACGCAGATTCAAAAAGACAGATCATGGAGTACATTCATAAGATAGAGGCCGACCTTGAACACTTAAAGGTACCTCAGACTTCAAAATCCTTAGGACTTGGTTATACAAAACACATTTAACATAGAGGAAGTATTGAATGATTGAAATGCTGATATTAATAAATTTGTTCAGATTCTGTATATTTTCTTTGACCATTATTCATGAAAAGGCCTGGACAAAAAGGCGAGATCAGCATTGTTTATCTGGTTACAAATCACAAGAAGAGGAAAAGGGGTAGCACTATAAACTATATTTCTATGGGTTTCTAAATTCAAGAACCTAAATATATTTGGGGTGATTGGCTGGCCACAATGAGAAGATGTGAGCAAATAGCTGAGATAGGTGGGGTTTATGTAGTTACGAATTTAGGCTGGGACGTACTATAACCTGTTAATTATCTGTTAACTATAAGGTGGTATTGGTAGTTTGCCAGATGTTATGAAGATAGAAATTGGCTCCTGTGATCTAAAAACCTGGGCAAGAATGGGATTTTTGTAAATTGGTAATTGAAGATGTCACTTTAGTAGCCTCCTTTTCAAAACTGACTTATTTGGTAATTTCCAAGGAAAGGGCTATATTTTAAAGTTTGCAGTCAGTGGACAGCTAGCTGCTAGAGCCCAAATGTTTTTTCATTACATCATTCAGTTGGAGGCTTTAGGGACAGTGTTAAAACTGTTCTTAGTCTTCAGCTAAAGGCTGGTCTCTGTTACTTTTTCTTTAAATTCAAATGATACGTTTCACCTTCTTCATATGATTATATGTAGTTTCATCCTGGAGCTGACGAGAGGACTTACGTGAAAGTCCATTGTGTGCAGGTTGGCTCTAGTATGTCCCACATACAAAATGTGGGGCCATTTTCAGGGTGACTCCTGGGGGTAGGATAATCACTTTTACTGGTTTCTCTCACCTCTACTTTCTTTTTACATGGGAAAGTTTTAAGTTATTCATATAAGGTAGAAACGGGTAAAAAGGAATGAAATTTACATTTTTCTTCCACTAACAAAATTTTAATTATGTTGAAATTTGGAAGCATACCTGTAATGTAAAAAAATCCTTTTTTCCTATTTTCAAAAGATGTTTTTATGATATTCAAATGAAAATCCTGTTGGTTTTATTTTACAGAAAGTGGAGGAAAATTATACCATTCTTTGCCAAAGGCTGGCTGGATCAGCCCTCACAGACAACTACTTAGGTATGTGAAAGTTGTAGATTGCAGACTCTAGAATCATTCTGCCTGAACAAATACATTGGATGAAATGATCTCTTATTCTGTAAAGTAGAAACCATATGAGATTCCTTTTTTTTGTCTTTAAAAAATTGTGTTTCCACACATCGAAAATCAAGCAGTAATTGTTATCTGCTGACTCAGCTGTTTGTTTTCTAAGAGGAACTGCAGGTGTTAGTTCCCGTGCCGCCCCTTTTCTCTGTCGTCTTCACCTTTGCAAAGCAGAAGGCAGAGTGGTGGTAAGCCTGATAATCCTAAATCCTCTATGAGACTTGTCAATTCTGCCGTAAACCCCTAAAGGTGGAAGTTTGATCCTCCTCAGGTCTTGATGTAATTTTATGTCTCCATGACTGCAAGTTGATCTGTGTTCAGTGCAGCAATTTGTATTCATTTGCTCTTGAATGAAGCTGTTTTGATCCAAAAACAAATATATAAGTAACCATCCCCACAGATTTCATTGGCATTCTCTAAGTGTTGATTTGTTCTTTCATCTTAATTTGATCCTTACATATCTTTCTTCTTCCTAGATAAAAGTTAGAGCTGCGTGTCCTGGAGATTGTTGGATTTTAAGCATCAGCCTTACATCAGCACATCCTGGCTCCAGTGTGCAGGAAGAGAGAGTCTGTGACAGGATCTGCCTGTGAAGCCCCTGGGGTTAGTCATGTCCCAGGGGCCCCAAAACAAGACTAGTTCTTCACAGTCTGGCAGCTGCACAACTCTGTCAATGATTGTTCCACCTGCACTCTGCTCTTCTCTGTCAGAAATTTATTTTGATTCAGAACAACAAAAACCAAATGTATAGAGCTTTGGGTATAGGATATGAAATTTTATTTAGACTTAAGGAAATGCGAAAATCAGATGTATTTATTTGACTTCATTCTGTATTTGAAAGCACATTTTAATTTTTATTTTGCCATGTTTTGTTTTAAGTGAGTAGTGATAGTTTTGGCCCTTTGTATATAGTACACAAAAGGATCGGTTGCTTTTGAAGCAAAGAGTTCAGGATAGGGTATTAGGAGGCTGAGTAAAGAGGGAAATAAAAGAAGGAAGTGAGAAGGGGAAGGAGGAGCATCTAGCCTTCTAAACTGTATCTCATGCCCTCTGCTGTCCAGTAAGCTGCTTCTCTAATGGGTCGCTCAAGGCACAATATGCCTGTGGCTCCTCCGTGCAGAAGACGGGCTGTGTGCTACCCAGGTAGGCAGAAAGTAGGTAGGTGGGCTTCCTCCCATCTGAGGCAAGCCCTTCTTTTCTAGCTGGGATCAACTCCCAGTTAACAGGAATCCTCAATGTACTAAATAGCAGGCACTTGAAAATGGGTGTTTTCTTTTCTGTTGAGGGTTGGGATTTGGGAGGGAGAGGAAAACAAATTTTATTTTCTTGATTATAAATTTCTTTTTCTTAATATTGTTTCATTGTTATAATTATGCATTAGACTTCAGCACTTGTGTAACATTATTCCTGCAGATTGAGCAGGAAGTAAAAAAAATGGAGATGCTTCAGGTGGTGGCAGGGCGTTGCTGAAGAGGGTGGGATGAGAGAAGGTAAAAGACTTTGGAAGGTTATATAACTGAATAACTACTGAGTTAAACAATGGCTGTCATTAGCCACAGGTACTGCTGAGTAAATGGCCAGTAAAATTTTAGTACCTGGAGGTTTGACTCTAACTTTTGCGCTGATTGTGCCAAAGGGCTCTTTGAGTTAAAAGGAGTGCCAAGAGTAGAATGGAAAGATATGGTGGAGAAGGCAGAGCTGCCCAAATGAGCTTCAGAAGCACTTCCTCTGACTTCACTGCTGGAACATTTTTCACACTGGTACCTGACCGACCTTAAAAATTGCAGGCCAGAACATATATTGGATACTGCAAGCAAGGTCTTGGTAACTGTCTGTTCTGGAACGGCTAGTATATTGGCAGCACCCTACAGAGAATAAAGGTTTCAGAGAACTCCTTCACTTGGATTTCTCTGAGTTTCCTTGTACATCAGGTATATATGTTTTGAAGTAGTTTTGCCAACTAAAACTAAATCATTTGTCAAGTCTTAAAATTCTGTTAATATGCAATGAGTTAATCCACTGCTCTTACCTTTCAGTAGAGCACTCTGAACTCTCTGAGTAGTCAGGATATAATTCTAGTCTTCCTTGCAGTCCAAATATATATACTCATCACAAATGGTAAGGATTCCCAATTACTCTTATAAACACCACTACAACTTATAACAACCTCACCTATGTCCACGTTCCTGTTTCTGTCTTTTCAAAACTGACCTATGTTTTTAAGGAAACCGACTGACTTGGATTGTTAGACCCTCATTTATGAATTAGAATTACATTTTGGGTTGTAGATCAAGCATAAATTAAATCAGAATGAGATTAAAAATTTTAGGAGAAGCTAATATATATGTGGAACTTGAACTTTCTGATCTCTTAAGAGAAGCCAGAAGAAAGTAATGGTTACATTGTGCTGCTAGAAATAATGCAGTGGCTCACAAAGGGTTTCACCTGTAGCCACCTGACACAAATACCATCCATGGGCAGTAAATCAGGAGAAAAATAAAAGAGAACTCTCACCTTACCTTCAGACACTACAGGGATATTACATAATTCTCTAGGACTCACTTAAGAAGCTTTATAGGTTAGCAATGTTTTGGTTCTTCTTCTAGCTCAGCAAATATCTTGTCCTTAGCAACTATTTGCTATTCTTTTCTTGCAGTTTAACCTATACTTCGAACAATAACAGGGCTAACTGGAAAATACTTTGACCATAGCTTTAGTACTTCTAAATAAATTTATATCTAGGTTTCAAACGAAGTCCCAAAATGAAGTATAATTTTGAAAAGATCCCACAGTTTCAACTGTTCTTTTAATCTTACCAGCTGAACTTCTTCCCTCCTCCTTCCTAGCCTAACCCCCTACACCTTCCATTTTATTTAGGCTGTTGTAGTCATATCTATTTTTCTTTGATATTAATACTGCCTTTCAGGATGATGGATTTCATCCTCTCCTTGAGTAGAAATTGTTACCATTGAAGTCATTTTCAAAGTTAAGTAACCAGCCGTTGGAATCTGCTTCCCTTCAGAAGAACCCACAGGTAGTGGACAAAGCAACATTCCCAGAACAGGAGGGCTGGGGTTTAGCTCCTAATGGCTTCTTTGCTACTAAGTGGCAAATCACATTTGAAGTGAGAACAGAAAGCAGAGTTAATCAAGACAATTCAGTAAGTGCTCAGAGTGCTCTAGTTTAAAATTTTGATTACTGCCCTTGAGCTACATATTTTATATACCTTAAAATCAACTAACTTGGACTGCTTTGAGTTATCTTGGCTTTTCGAACCTAAGCTGTAACTGTTTATTACGCTGCATGGGAGGTATATTTCATAAGCTTTATGGCTTTTTTATGAAATTTCTCTCCCATGCAGTATAATAGTTACAGTTTAGGTAAAAAGGAAAAAGGTTTTTATTTGATTTTGGAGGAGAGAGAGGGAAGCTAATGTAATAATAGAGGAAAATACTCTTGTTTTTTATTATTTTTAGAAGCTAAAGAAAATAATATGCTTTCTAGGTTGTCTCTTATTTTTATTCGTTTTTTTCTTTTTGATGTTGGTAAATTTGGTGTGTTACATGGAGCATTTACATTTCAAACTGGAAACTATTTTCTCTGAAGGTTGTATATAGTGTTATTTTGAACTATTGTACTAGAGCTTTGGTCAATATTTTCTCCCTGTATGTCACAGAAGGCACCATTGAGAACTGGGTACAGAGGACCTCAAAATAGACAACTAGCAGGACCTTCCAGTTATCTCCCTGCTGGATTTTTTCTCCTAGCATTACAATTTTTGTTTTATAAATTGTGGTTTTTCCTGACTTTTCTACTCTTTTTCTGCAAAATTGTTCTTTCCTCAAGAACAGAGTTTCTTTGCTTCATTTCTTATGCCTTGCCACTGGTACTGATTGTGTTGATAATAAATTGGTAGGGGGGAAAAATGTATCTCCTAGAAGGAAGCTCTGCCTGCCATTTCCGGGTGCCAACACTTAAGCATATGTCCTATAAAAATAACTGTAATATGCACACTGGTGGTTATTTTTAATAAGCCTCTTCCTACTAGAACATTTTGTTTTCCTTGTTCACCATATATTCATGTACTCTTTAACAGAAATTACTTTTAAAAAATCTGGAACTACTTTAAAAAAACTTTATTAATAATCATATACTTTTACTGATCACATTTTGAAATACCTAAAAGACTTTATTGTTCTAATTATCCAGATACACCTCTGTAAAATAGCTCTTTTATGAATTAGCTAATAAGGCTGTATGTTTCTGGAACAAAATACTGGTCATCTAAAAACTCGCTTTTCTGGGATATGGGAAAATAAAAAAATGAGAGTTCAAATATTAAATATGCTTAAAGGAACCAAGTATGTGACTTTTTATTTGTATTCTTGTTGATTTTTCAAGTTATATTAGAAAAGTTTAGGTGCCAAGGAGGCCTTAAGTAATCTTACTGGCAGTGACTATTAAACAACTTCTGCTTATTAGAGTATTTTCACTAGTGAGACTGTAGTTGATCTTCCTAGTGTATAAACTTTCATGAGGACACTAGCAGCTGGGATTGCCTTACCATCTGGAAACACCAGCTTTGTTTTTCTTAAACAGTTTTATTGAGACACAATTCACCTATCACACCATTCACTCATTTAAAATGTACTATATAATAACTTTTGGTATATTACATTATTTTTTTAATTGTGGTAAAATATGTAGAGCATAAAATTAACCCTTTTAATTATTTTTAATTGTATGGTTCAGTGGAATTAATAGGGCAGTTTTTATGGCTCACTTGAAGATAGCTTGTTTAATAAGATAGCTTGTTGAAGATAGCTACCCTAAATAAAAATATGATGCCATGGAATCCAGCCAAGATGGAGGCGTGGATTCCTCCATCACCTCCAGAGATGCTTCACTTGTTTGCACAACAAAAAGAGGAATAATGACCAATTTAAAAACAAGACAACCAGTACTGCCAGAAAATCAAACTGCATGGAAGTCCAGCAACCAAGGACTTAAAGAAACATTCATCCAGACTTATAGAAAGGGGTGGAGACTGGAGCAGAGAAGACATGCACGGCTAGGTGGCAGCTGGCAGACTAGGCGGGTGATCCCACATTCACCCACAGGTAAGCCAGGAAGAACAGCAGGAGAGGGAGACAGACTGCAAAACCCAGGGCTTCAGGGCATGAAACTGAAGACTCAGACCCCTGGCTGTAAAAATCTGTAGAGGTTGAAGTGGCAGGAGAAACTCCCAGTCTCACAGGAGAGTTGGTGGGAGATCCATGGGGTCCTAGAACCCCACCCACCTGCAAATCAGTGCCTGAAAGGGTACAGTCCACTTGTGGGGAGTGTGATGGAAGAGACAGAAAGTGGGGTGAGAGCTGAGCAAGTGGCATTGTTCCCTATCTGGCTCCTCCCCCACATGCAGCACCGTAACACAAGGAAGAGGGTTGCCCTGCCCTGGTGAATACCTAAGGCCCCACCCCTTACAACATAAGAGGTGCTCTGAGACAAAGAAATAAGGCCCAAGTGAAAGAACAGATCAAAACTCCAGAAAAACAACTAAGTGATGAGGGAGGAGATAGCTAACCTATCAGATGCAGAGTTCAAAACACTGGTGATCAGGATGCTCAAAGAGCTCATTGAGTACGACAACAACGTAAAGGAAGAAATGAAGTTTACACTAAGTGAAATAAAGAAAAACCTACAGGGAACCAACAGTGAAGAGAAGGAAACCAGAATTCAAATAATGACTTGGAACAAAAGGAAGGAATAAACATCCAACGGGAACAGAATAAAGAAACAAGATTTCAAAAAAAGTGAGAGGCTTAGGAACCTCTGGGACAGCTTTCAAATGCTCCAACATCCAAATCATAGGGGTGCTGGAAGGAGAAGAGGAAGACCAAGAAATTGAAAACTTACTTGAACAAATAATGAAGGAAAACTTCCCCAATCTAGTGAAGGAAATAGACTTCCTGGAAGCCCAAGGTCCCAAAGAAATTGGACCCAAGGAGGAACACACCAAAACACATCATAATTAAGTTACCCGAGATTAAAGATAAGGAGAGAATCTTGAAAGCAGAAAGGAGAGAGTTACCTACAAAGGAGTTCCCGTAAGACTGTCAGCTGATTTCTCAGATCTTACAGGCAAGAGGGGGCTGGAAAGGAGCATTTAAAGTCATGAAAGACAAGGACCTACATTCAAGATTACTCTATTCATCAAAACTATCATTTAGAATGGAAGGGCAGACAAAGTCCTTCCCAGATAAGGTCAAGGTGAAGGAGTTCATCATCACCAAGTCCTTATTATATGAAAGGTTAAAGGGATTTTACCTAAGAAATAGAAGATCAAAACCTGTGAAGAATAAAATGACAACAAACACAACTATTAACAACTGAACCTAAAAAACTAAAACTAAGCAAACAACTAGAACTGGAACAGAATCTCAGAAATGGAGATCACATGGAGGGTTATCAGTGGGATGGACGAGGGAGAGACTAGAGGAAAAGGTACAGGGAATATGAAGCATATTTGGTAGGTACAAAATACGCAGAGGGAGGTTAAGAGTAGTATAGGAAATGGAGAAGCCAAAGGACTTACATGTACGGGGGCGGGGGGCGGAGAATGCTGGTTGAAGGGGTGCAGGGAGGAGGGGGGATAAAGAGGAGGAAAAAAACGGGACAACTGAAATAGCATAATCAATAAAATATACTTTTAAAAAATATATATTACCATTCTTATCCCCAGCGCTGGACTTCATAAAGTACTAACATTTCTATGCTGTTACAGATTTCATTTCAACTCAGATGGCTCACTCAGTTTGGAGATTTTTGTACGTTGGTTTTGACATAGGGGTATAATTCAACTTATCCTCGGATGATACTTTAGTTTTCAGTCATTCAGGAGCACATTTGGCTAATTAATAAGCATAAAAATGATTAGTATTTTGTGTCATCTTTTAGTTTAACCTTTTAAAAATTAAGTATTAGATGTACTTTGCAGAATTAATTTGTACGTTTAGCTCTGTCTGTTTATACATATAACTGGTAGAACAAGTAAATGGCCGTATCATTTCACCTGCTCCTAGATGACCATGTTCTACTAGGAATGGAGAAAGTAAAAGTCTGAATTTGCATATGAGCAGTTACTTTCACTTCTTGCTCACCTCTTTCAAGCCAAATGACTTGCTCAACAGAGGTTAATATGAACTTGAAAAATAAGAAGAGCTGTCCTTTCAAAGTTGCTTTTCAATTTGATATCTCCCTACTATGATTAATGTCATAAAATGGTATAGATAAATAGCTAGCTGTAGATGTTTCCAATTTTTTATTTAGTATCAGGTGTAATTCTTGTTAGTAATAGAAAACACTTTATTTTAGCTGTCAGGGAATGTTTGTTTTGCTACTTATTTTTACTAGTGAGAAATTATTCCCTGAATATCAGCAGAGACCTTGGTTTGAAATCGTTTAAGGTAGGTAGAGCTCTATTATATATAGTCTTTCTTCTGCTTTGATTAGGGTATTGGGACCTACCAATAATTTAAGACTTCCCTTATAATAAGCATTTTATTTCAGGGGATTCCTTTCTTTATACATGGGACCGCAGGGTTGCGTCTGCCCGAACACATTCTGATCAACAACAATAATAAGGTTATATCTTAGTAATCCTATCTTCATATGGTTATATATTTATTAGAAATTAAAATGAGAGCATTTATATAAATTCATTTAAAAATAATGTTAAAGTCATTACATATTTTATGAAAAATTACTATATTTTCTGACTTCCTTTCAAGATGGAGGCCTAGGTACATATACTTTGCCTCCTCGCACAACCGAAAGAAGGACAACAAATTTAAAAACAAAAAATAACCAGAACTGCCAGAAAATTGAAATGTATGGAAGTCTGACAACCAAGTAGCTAAAAAAGAAACATTCATCCAGACTGGTAGGAAGGGCAGAAATAGGCAGCCTGGGCAGAGAGGCCATATGGCAAGGTGGCAGCTGAAGGACCGGACAGTCCCACATTTGCATGCAGATAAACTGGAAGAACAGCTGGGGAACGAGATAGACCACACAACCCAGGGTTCCAGCATGGGAAAAGAGAGCCTCAAAACCTCTGGCTGTAAAAACCTCTGGGGATGTGGCAACAGGAGAAACTCCGAGCCTCATAGGAAAGACCCATGGGATCCTAGAACATACACAAACCTGCCTACCCAGGAATCAGCACTAGAAGGGCCCAATTTGCTTTGGAGTAGCAGAGGAAGTGACTGGAAGCCGGCTGAGAGCCGAGCAAGCAGTATTGTTCCCTCTCAGACCCCTCCCCCACAGACAGCATCAAAACTCAGCAACTTTGGTTGCCCTGCCCTGACAAAGACCTAATGCTCCACTTCTTCCAACGTAAGAGGCATGCTGAAGCAGAAATATGGCCCAAACGAAAGAACAGATCAAAGCTCCAAAAACAGAACTTAGAGATAGCCAACCTATCAGATGCACAGTTCAAAACACTGGTAATCTGGATGCTCACTGAATTGGTTGAGTATGGTCGCAAAATGGAAGAAAAATAGCTATTCAAAGTGAAATAAAAAATAATATACAGGGAACCTACTGTGACGGGAAGGAAACTGGGACTCAAAATGATTTGGAGCAGAAAGGGGAGAGAAGCATTCAACCAGAGCAGAATGAAGAAACAAGAATTCAAAAAAAATGAGGAGAGGCTTAGGAACCTCTGGGACAACTTTAAATGTTCCAACATCCAAATCATAGGAGTGCCAGAAGGAGAAGAGGAAGACCAAGAAATTGAAAACTTATTTGAACAAATAATGAAGGAGAGTTTCCCCAATCTGGCAAAGGAAAGAGACTTCCAGGAGATCCAGAAGCTCAGAGAGTCACAGAGAACTTGGACCAAAGGAAGCACACACCAAGGCACATCATAATACATTACCCAAGATTAAAGATAAGGAGAGAATCTTAAAAGCAGGAAGAGGAAAGGAGTTACCTACAAAGGAGTTCCCATAAGACTATCAGCTGATTTTGCAAAAGAAATCTTGCAGGCAAGAAGTATTCAAAGTCATGAAAGGCAAGGACCTACATCCAAGATTACTCTATCCAGCAAAGCTATCTTTTAGAATGGAAGGGTAAATAAAATGCTTCCCAGATAAGGTCAAGTTAAAGGAGTTCATCATCACCAAGCCCTTATTATATGAAATGTTAAAGGGACTTATCTAAGAAAAAGAAGATCAAAAACTAAGAAGAGTAAAATGGGTGGGGGCGGGGGGGAGAAAAGAGGGAAAAGTACAGGGAATAAGCAGCATAAATAGTAGGTACACAATAAGCATGGGGAGGTTAAGAACAGTAT